TTTTGTTTAAACATGAAAGCCAATTTCTTGTATTTCAAAAATCGATTGGAGGCCAAACTTGGACGAGGTCCGTTGACACAAATCTTTTATCAAAATCCAGTTTTTTTGGGACAACCAAATAATATTTTATAAGGTTGAGGTTCAAGATGATGAGGACCTTCAGAATATGTTTTCCAGTCATGAGTATTCTGGGTACGACTCTATTGAGTTATACATTGTGCTGCGAGAGTCTCAGCTGTCACAAGTGGTTGATCCTCTCGAGTCCGAACAAGCAGAAGTAGACGTCGTTGACGAAGAAGAAGAAGAAGATGATGAGTTAGAGTTTGACAACATGGTCAACAATGATTCTGAAGACGATGGGATACCTGGTATACCTCCGAATGAGATCTACACACCACCTCCACACATGATAAACTTTAACATGGGCGGAGATGAACCGTCATCTGATTTATTTTTCAATCCGTATATGCAGTCGGATGAAAAGTTAAAAGAGAAAGACAAATATCGTAATAGAGAAGATTGTATCCGAGCCATAAAAAAGTTTCACATGCTAAAGTCATTCGATTTTAAGGTAGATCGTGTAAATCCAGAAAGGTACAAGCTCAGGTGTGTCCACTCAGATTGTATGTTCAAGCTCACCGCATCATACAGATTAAGAGGTGATTGTTGCGTCATAGGTTCTATGTCCATCCACACGTACGTCAATTCTACTCAATCACAGGATCATCAGAAACTAAATTATGATCTCATATGTCAAGAAATCCTACCTCTCGTCAGCAATGATCCATCATTGAAGGTGAAAACCATAATGTCTCACATCACTATGGTATATTACTATACTTCGTCATACCGAAACGCGTGGTTAGCAAAGACTAAGGAAATTGAAAAATTATATGGAAACTGGGAGGAGTCATACAAAGAACTTCCCCACTACCTGCATGCACTTCAGATTTATTCTTCGGGTACTATTTATATTATGGAAACACTGCCGGCGTACGCCCCAGATGGTACTCATGTCACCGGAAATGGAATATTCAGTCGAGTGTTCTGGTCTCTTCAACCTTGCATCACAGGATTTGCATCATGCAAACCTATTATTCAAATTGATGGGACTTGGTTGTATAGAAAATACAAAGGCACGCTACTGATGGCAGTTGCATAAGATGGCAACAATAACATTTTCCCAATTGCCTTTGCTCTAGTCAAGGGAGAGACTTGTGGTGCTTGGATTTTCTTTCTCAAGAATATTCGAACACACGTGGCTCCTCAACCAGATCTTTGTTTGATCTCCAATGGACATGTATCTATTGAGAGTGCATACAACAATCCTGCAAACGGTTGGCATGACCCTCCTACGTATGTCTATTGCATTAGACATATCGTACAAAATTTCACGAGGGAGATCAAAGACAAGGCTCTTAGGAAAGTGGTTATGAACGCAGGGTATGCATTAACACAACCTACGTTCAAACACTATTTCAACGAGATCAAATTGTCAAATCCAGATGCAAGTAGGTGGATCGATAATATTCCGGTGGAGAAATGGACTAGGTCATACGACAATGGACAATGATGGGGCCACATGACAATAAATCTTATCGAATCCATGAACGGTGTATTCAAAGGCATGCGAAACATCCCAATAACTGCTTTTGTTAAATCAACATATTTTAGGATGGCTTCGTTGTTTGCCAAAAGAGGTGAAATGTGGAATGTTGTCTTGCAATCAGGAAAACTATGGAGTGAAAGCTGCATGAAGTATATTAAGGAAGAAAGTTCCAAATCCAACACCCATCTGGTTATACGGTTTGACTAACACATCCTTGACTTTATTGTCAAAGAGATAATCGACCATAACGAGGGGCTGCCAAGACAAGAGTATAGGGTTATACTACCATCTCATTGGTGCGATTGTGGCAAGTTTCAAGCCTTTCTTATGCCTTGCTCTCATTTCATTGCAGCATGTGTGTATACTCATCAAGATGCATTACAACTTCTATCTCCCATTTACAAGTCTGAAACCTTGCTCAACGTATACAACAACAACTTCCCATTGGTAGCGAAACCTGATTATTGGCCTGCATACGACGGAGAAATAGTATGGCACAACAACCAAATGAGAAGGAATAATAAGGGTCGTCGCAAAAGCAAGTGTATCATAACTGAAATGGACTCCCTTAACAAGCTAGAAAGAAAGTGTGGTTTATGTCGTCAGGTCGGACGCAATTGCAAAAATTGTCCGACTCGGGCTACTAGCTCAACAACATAAAATTTTATGCAAACCATCTTTACTTTTTTTAAGTTATAAACATTACAATTTTTCATTAAGAGCATTTGTTACAACAAACCTTACGCAAACAACAAATAAAAACACGAGAAAACATCTAAGAAATTACACAATTGTTGTTCCCATTTGCACCTATCGAGACCATAAAATTCTACAAACACATCGAATGTCATATGAAAAACATACGAAAGTGACTTTAAAGATCTAGAGAGGATAGTGATAGGAGGACAAACCCCCACTGGCAGAAGTAATCAAATTTGAATATGACAGGGGCAAAAAACACCAACTGGTTTGAATCCTAGAAATCAAAATGCCAACGACTCATATGATAAAGCAAAAAGACCATGAAGATATTAAGTAAATCACGTCATTCACAAAAATATAAATATAATCATTGAATAGAAAGGTAAATGCATAAATATTATCATTCTTACAAAGGCACAACGCCCTACTGACATTACAGATAAAGCCAAAAAAGAAAGGAAAAAGCTTAAGTCTCTCCACTCTTAGAAGTTGCACCAAGATTATCCACTAAAGCCTCAGATATAGAAAAATTAGTGTTCGTTGTTATGCACCAATGGTCAATGGAGAGAAAAATAGTCTTGGTCTTCAAACACATCTTCCCAACTTTAACTGCTTTATTTCTCTCAAACGTCGTTGTCATAACTAAAATTGACATCTCGAGAATTGATGAGTTGTTCACAACCATTCTAGCCATAATTCAACTACTTTTCAAAAGAAAATTAATATTGATGAGAAAGGGGAGTAACGAATATGATTTTGATTCATTTTTATCCAAATTTGATAAAATCCCAAAAATTTAAATCTGTTTTCATCATAATCTTTTCTTATTTCCCTTATCTTTTTGTTGATGACAAAATGGGGAGTAATATGATAAGTATTTAAGCTCTTGAATTTTAAATATCAACTCTTGCTTAAATTCTGAAGAATTATTACTTTGTGCTTTAATGATCAATTTAATTAACCTGGATAGAACTTCAGGGGGAGCTTACAAACCTCACCCTTAGGACTATAAAACTCAAGGGGATCTTACAAACCTCAGACCCTGGAGTCAACTTGTTAATTGAATCAACAACCATTATTCTCAAATACTTGTGTTTGTCATCACCAAAAATGGGGATATTGTTGGGACAAAATTGGCTTGTATCATATCCCTATGGTTTTGATGATAACAAATTATTTATAGAACAAGTGGGTATACTAATGTTTATTCAAGTGTGAAGGACCATAGACTAAAATTTGTGATAGAAACTAAGTTCTAGAACTAAAAATTGAGCTTTAAAGAGAAGCTAAAAGAACCAGAATCTAAAGTATCAGAACTTGAAGATTAGAATCTGAAGAAAGTCAACCTCTGAAGCTCCAGACTCTAGAGACTTAGACTCTAAAGAGGTCAACTTGTGAAGACCAAACTCTGAATAAATTCAACCTCTGAAGATCTAGACTCTGAAGACTCAGGCACTAAATTCAGTCAATTCGCTAGGATCAAGAAACTCTGATAGGTCACTATCAGACTCTGAGACCAATTTGTCTTCTTCTGATTATGTAAAGATCCAAGTTTAGAGATAGCAGAGATAGAACAAATAATTCTTTTTTGAAGCAACATAAATTCAACGTCTCTGATGATGCTTGTCTAAAAGACTCCTTGTGCGTGAAGTCTTCTTCAATGAGTCTTTTATGTTACTCTATTTAAGGAGCTGGAGATTTTAATAAAACTACAACATTGCGCCTTGACAACTAAAGAGTTGTTACTCTGTGAAAACAATAGCACAAGCTTAACTTAGGATTTCTTAACACTTGTATATTCTAGAAATTCCTAAGTCGTAGTGTCTTTCTATGTTGTATTATGTTTACACCTCTAATTGTATATCAATTGTAATACTCAAACAATAATTATTTCTAAGTTAGATTGTAGAAGTCTCTTACTTGGGTGCTTGAGAATTTGAAGTCTCTTGCTTGTATGCTTGATCATTTTAAGTCTTTTGCTTGTGTGCTTGAGCATCTGAAGTCTCTTGCTTGTATGCTTGAGCATTTGAAGTCTCTTCCTTGTGTGCTTGAGCATCTGAAGCATCTTGCTTGTGTGCTTGAGCATTAGAAGTCTCTTACTTGTTTGTTTAAGCGTTGTAAGTCTCTTGCTTGAGTACATGAGAAAATTGTAATCATAAGTGATTATAGTGAAAATCTCTTATAGTACAAGGGGACTGGACTACTCCTGATTTATGGGAGAAACCTGGATAACTTCTTGTGTCTCTCTTTTTCTTACTCTCTACTATGATATTGTTTAATTCTCTATAAACAAATTACCCTAAATTAGATTCTACACTTTATGGACAAAATCTGATAAAAGAGTTTGAAAAAGAAAGAAAAAGTCAACACAATTCATCCTTCTTCTTGTGTTTTTCTCACCTTTACATGAGCCTTGTGGTTCTTAGTTTGGGATTCATTCTACTTATGAAGAGCTTTCAAATCTTTGCTAGCACGAGACTTCACCTTTGTAACAATAGTGGTTATTTTCTTTCAGCGTTTCCTCTTTGCCTTTAGGGAAGACTTAAGTTCAGCAATCTTGGCAGTCAAAGAAGAAGGGGAGCCATGAACCTTTGCCTCCTCCAAGAGAGCCTAAGCATTATTGGACTTATCCTAAAGATCAAACATCTCCCACTAAAGCATGGACCATTTCTATTCCATAGATTCACGCTTACCCTTCTAGGTATCCATATCTTTGAAAGGATTTCCCATGACCAGAACATCCCCCGAGCCAACAACGGACAAAGATAATAAAGAAGCAGCCTGATAAGTGCAAAAAGTGGCTTCCGAGAAAAGTTCCAACGTTTCCTTCATTAGGGATATTTTGAAGGTATAAGATATCCACTTCAGACATGGAAGCAGTAGCCTCTAGGGGAGTATGGGGAATCTGGGCATGAAATAGAGTCGACACCTTTAGAAGAGAGGTGGTCGACCCTAAACCACCATCCCTAGACAACTGAGCATGTTTAGGTGAATCTTCCTCCAGGAGAGGACTTTTATCTTGGTCCATGTCCCTTTTTGTATTAATAGGAGGGGACCATGTCTGATCCTTAAGATTAACATCAACATTTATGGAAGAAGGCTTCCCACGTCCATGAGTGACCAAGGAAGCCTTAGTTGTAGAAGACACAATAAGGTTAGTGGGAGAGGGAGTGACAACCTGAGTCTGAGGAGTAATTTTAACACCATGACCCTCTTGCTTTATAACAATTGCAAAGGCCTTATGGAAATAATCCATTTTATCTGAAATGATAATCACCCATGTTAAAAAAAACTCAAGGATGACTCCATCCTCATCAAATGTCTTTTTTCTCTCCATATGATCGAATGCACACACAATAGTACAAGTCTCAATGGACTGATTAATCTACATGGAAGACTTCAATTCATTAGGTCCAAACCTTCCTCATAGCCAAGTTCTTAGTAGAGAGACTCCAAATCTCTATTCATCATAATTTCCTCTGAAGTAAGAGAGTATAATTGAACACCATATAAGTAGGGTTTCTAGTTGAAGTAGACCCAAGCCCAGTATTTTGGGAACCTATCCAAACAAGACTCAATAAAAATATGGAAAAGTGTGAATTGAGCTTCCAGAGTACAAGGCCTCACCAATATGAAACGCCTCTGTTGCACCCCAAAATTTTTCCTCTCATTTTACTCAACACATGCTCATTGAAGTCCTCAACTTGCTCAAGGATGCCCAAGAATTAACCAGACAAATTCTCTCCTAAGGCAATAAACCTTCAACTAGGGTTTCCACTTTCATCAAGATATGTGAACTCAAAAGATCTCAAATATTTTCCATGGTCCTAATATTTCCTCAAGATCATCCATGTCAAGTTTCATGCCTTGCACAACAAGTTTTCTCAGTCAATTGCTCAAATGCCTGTAAATTAACTATGTTAGGTCAAAAGTCAATTGTGGCTTATTTACAGTCAAACTTCAAGATTTTTGGTCAATATAAACACTTTGAAGTGATATCCATCATTTTATCAAGGGTTGATCATGATTCCTCAAGGAATGCTCCTAATTCATCAAAACTCAAAAGTTGTTAAATTAGGGTTTCTATAGGAAAAGTCAACCAAACTTTGACCAGGCACAACTTTATCATACTTTATTAGAAATTTTTCCACAAAGGATCATTTTGAAGAGAATCCAATTATATACAACTTCTATTCATCCCTCAAGCTCCAGAAAAGCACTCATTTAAAGATATAAATTCAGACATTATAGGTCCTCCTAAAAAGTCAACAAAAACACCTTTAAGGTCAAAGTTCCTTACATTAACATGAAATATCCAATTGATATGAAACCAAAAGGGTTGTTTAGGGGATATCCTAAGATTTCTAAAAAGTCCAAGAACACCCTCATAGGTTTAAAATTGAGAGAGATATGCATTGTCAAATTTGGCCAATTTTTGGAAAAATGCATGAAGCAAATATTGACCAAACATGGATTTTTTTTCCAAATGGGCCTATCTTTTAAAGTTTGAAACTCATTCCTAACATGGTCCAAGACTTCTAAGCCCACCCATACATTTTTCTACTATTTATGCTATTTATTTTGATATTTTATTCATTAAGATTCAGAATTAAATAAATAAATAATAGAAATAATGTAAATTTTGATGTGAATTCATTTTGGGCAAGTTTTATGCTGGTTTATGTCAATTGATTTCGTGAAATAACCCTTCAAATATGTCCAGGTTCATCCACATGTGAAAATGGCATGAAATAATCAAATATGGCTTTTTTTTCAAATTTTGATCATGGTCTTAAAACACAACATTATGAGGGAGATTCTTTCCATGCTTTCTTGTCTCCTCATTCTCCTCTATAAATATAGAGTCATACAAGCTTGAAAGACACGAAATTCCTCTTCAAGAAAGCTCTACAAAATTCTCAAAAAAATTGCTAAAAGTTGCAAGAGTTCGCAACTATATTCCCAAGAGCTATTAGTCCAAACAAGTGGACAAATCACATTTCTGAGACTTCCAGGAGTCTACTCAGGCCTCTTTCCAAGCCATTCCACGCCCAAAACAGTCGCACCAAGTAGCTCCGGTTGGGTAAAAATTCTTAATTATAAACTCTCAATTCTTACGTTGTAAATGGTTTATAAGCATTCATGCATGTTCATACTAATGTTTAGAATGTTTTAGAACCATTGCTTTTAAGTTTTGATGCAGGAATCTAAAAATGCCAGATCTAAAGCCTCAAAGTCGCGTTCCCGTGGTGCACCCCAAGACGTTATCCACACTGGATCCAGCGTAGAACCGGACTTTGTCCAGTTTGGGCTTTTAATTCTACTTCTTTCTCACCCCTCATTTTCATTTTTGCAGCGTGGACCATTTTTCTTTTTTACTTTTTTTATTTTATTTTATTTCAATTATTTTCCTTTTATTAAAAAAATCATAAACATCATAAAATCAAGAAATCACCAAAAAAATGTAGAATTAGTTTTTTCTTCCTTATTTATTAAAATTAATTTTGAAAATAGATTAGTTTAATTAGGATAATTTGGTTTATTTTCATAATTAAAATTAGCTAGAAATTAGGTTTAAATTGCAAGTTAATTATTTTTTCTCAAATAAAAATACAAAAATATTAGGTTATTTAGAGTTAATTTCCTTTCATTTTTAACTTAACGTTTTTTCCTAAAAAATATAAAATAACAAAAAATATTTTCTTTCATTAATTAAGTTTTCTTAGAATTTAAACTTTAATTCCCGTATTTAATTTTTTGCGCGCATTTTCTTCTTTCACACTTTTATATTCCTGTACATATCATTGTAGCCAAACTATAACGCACTTTTATTGTTTTCCTTTATATTTCTCCCGGTTTTAGACTTGTAATTAAATCCCTCTCCTCGAAGCCATGTAATAGCGTAGGAATTTACGTTTCCGCACTTTATATTTTTGTACATATATTAACTGTTAGATGTGTGGCTAATAGGATTGCATGAATAAGATAAAACCAATCGCTAGAAAACTAAACACAAAGACTAATATATCTGAAATCAAATACACTCACACATACGCACCCCTAGGGTATCCCCACTTCGGTTGCCTTCGGAAAATGGTCATGAAATATAGGGAGTTTTAGTGGTTGCCCTCTAGTCTCAAAAGATCAAAAACGACCCATTCGAATGTTGTCTCGGAAAGATCTTTAAGACTCTAGGGTAACTACTAAGGTTTCTTAACCATTACTTTAGTGATCGTAATCGTCCCTTTCGATTGTCCCTTAAACTCCAACGATAGAGCTACCTACTCCTTAATAGTAGGATAGTGTTGTCTAAAGGAAATAAGAAAATGAATAGCCTTTTCCGAGTAGGTAGAAACTCTTAAGTACTTGCTCAAACAAACTTTTACACCATACACTTTCAAACAAACTTTTCAAACTAAAGTTTTCAAAATCACTTTATCACACTCTTGAGGACTGATACAATGGTTACTATAAATTGAATCGCCACACTAAGGAAATTTCAAAACTTTTTCAAATAACACAAACACACAAAAGCAATTTAAAAATGAGCAAGTACCTAAGAGCCCGTGGAAAACCACGGATAGAAAGGGTGCTAACACTTTCCCTTTCTATAATCTACCCCCCGTACTCAAAAACATCTCGAAAAAGGTTTTTTATGTTCTTTTTCCCTTTTCCTTTGTTGGATGAAATAAAAGACGGTGGCGACTCTTGCTTACCGTACATTTGCGAACAAAAAACATAAAACCAGTAGTAACAAAAAACAGTCAGTTCTGCCACCGTATCACAGAACTGGCGACTCTGTTGGGGAAAATTAATAAAGTGGGGTTTACCTTAGGATCTAGGTCATTTTTAAATTGCTTTCTTATTTGTCTTGCTTGTTTATCTTTAAGGGTTTTTGCTTGGGTATTGTTGAAGATCCTACACCCGGATATGGGGACACTTTTTAGGTAAACAACAATAGATTGTGGAGATTGTACGGTGTAGAACGATATGGTTTAAGTGATGGATGTGTTGGTGTGATACTTTGGTTGGTACCGGTATCCTTCGTGTTGAAACGAGGAGAATACGGGGCCGCCACGTGGTGTCATGAAGCACTAACGGACCTTAGAACCTTAGTTGAACAAACTTGGCCATTAGAAAGTAGTGAGATAGCCGACCTCGGTATAAAGCTGAGGATTAGTTGATACTCGATGCTACACTCATTGAGATCAAAATTTCGGGATATTTTGGCTGCAAGAAAAGATTGCCTGAGCTTAAACAATGCCCGATAAAGGATGATCAATGATATTGAGAATCCTTAAAACCCGATTACTTTTCTAAGACAGGTTTGAAACCAACTAAACTTCAAGAGGGTACTTACCTATGGAATCCATGCAAGCCTAAACCTAAGGCTACTTGTGTGACTTGTTTTCTTTGTTTGCCTAACAATTTAAACTCATTACAGGGCTTTGTTTGTATTCCTTGCAGGACCTTGTTTGTATAAATCCAATAAATTGGTTTCTTACCCTGCATTTTTGCTTAATGCATAGAATACACATCATAGCATCATAACACGACATATCATACTAACCATTTCAAGGATCTCGAGGGTCTGTGATGCAGGTTATGATGAACCAGACGTTTAGCAATGGGAAAGGGGATTTATTTTCCTCTGGCCAATGTCATCAAAAGACCAAAACATGATAACTTGATTCAGGGGCTATGACCCACTTGATATGGTGAACTTGACTCTTGTATAAGGACCTTCAACGATACGAAGTGCTTGAATCAAAATTGTAAAGTTCAACGCCTAACATTTTTCTTATTTACCCCGCGGGATCCTTGAAAATCGTTGCATATCATACATGTCATTGCATAACAGGTAATCTCCAGTACAGGTTTCTCATCTTCTTCGCTATTTATTTCAGCAATGGCTCTCAAACAAGACAACAGAGATCTCCAAACTCAAGAAGCTCAATTCATGGAAATGTTCCTAAACCTATCCAAGGGGCAGGAAGAGTTAAAAGCACTCCTCGCTGTGAACCTGGCCAAGAAAAATCCTGAAGACAATAAGGACGAATGGTTGGAACAACTGCAAGCTGAATTTGAAACAATGAGAACACAGATGTTGGGGAAGAGGGATCTTATCCAAGGCCTAGCCCGGGGACAAAAAGAGCTGAGATCCATTATCAAGAAACTTCATCAAGACGGCTGCAGCCGTGTGAAGAAAATAGTCGAGGTTGGGGACCAAGTTATTGATCAACTTCCGAGAAGACAAGAGGCTAGTTTGGTGAAGAGTGGACTTTTCAAATTTCTACCACTTCACGGGTCCAACAACATCCTCGCCAAAAACAACGG